CTTGGTCTTTATCCCATAACCCAGTAGCCAACGGATATTAATTTCGTCTTCCAATCTAGACGGGCCTAACGCAGCCTATCCTCTTCCCAAAAACGCCAATCTCGTGGTGTTCATCCCGTTGTGATGCCAATCTCGGCCATTCTTTTCCCAAAGAGTACCTTACCCCTCAAGACAATTCCATCAATGTTGCATCAACTCCACAGGCGGACGTGCCGTACTGGCCATTATCTTCTTGGACGGAATCTCCGCCTCCAGCTCCACATCGGATTCATCTTCGGCCTCCAGCATTACCGCCGGAAGCGCGGGGCTGTCACCGTGGGCTTTGGGGTCGTAGATCAAAGTCGAGCTTCGACTCCGGTGCTTCTTTGGTGATGCGTCGGCCGTGGGTGATGTGTCTGCAGACACGCCGGAGACGGCCGGCGCTCGGCTGGCTTTCAACCTCCGCAGCCCTTCGGCCGTGTATTGTACTTTGGCGTCGTCTTCAGAGGCGGAGTCGTCGGCAGCGTTGGTGGGGGCCGATGTGAGCTTGCCATTTAGTTTCTCCAGCTTCGACGCCAGATCTTCGGCGTGGACATGTGTGTTTGGAGGGTCCTCCTCTTTCATTTCCCAGCCCACGGGAGGGCTCGGTGGGGGGCTGATAAAGAACAACCTCCCGGCGTCCGGTCGGTCAAGGTATTTCTTCTCGTCCCCTATCGGGGTCGGTTCACCGAAGTAGCACTTTGCGACGGTATCTCCCATTATCGCAGACCCGTCGATAACCTGTCTAACGGCAATGGCGGCATCGACGTCGTAGAAGGAGCAGATGATGCGGTGCATGGACTTGAGTGGGGAGAAGGAATTCAAGGGTGCGATGTCTGTGATGTGTTGTCTGATTGTCGCCAGGGACGCTGGGTGGAAGATCTTGGGATCATCAAGGCGAGTGATCAGGAGAGTGTTGGAGGGAGGTGCTGGTTGGGAAAGAGGCGGTAGAGAGGAGAGATCGATTGAGAGAGGTGATCGGGAACGTTTGGCGGATAGAGATGGGCGAGGCGAGGAGGCGGTTGAAGCGGGAGGAGAGTTTGAGGAAGGGATCTGTGTTTGCAGAGGAGAGAGAGGCTGTCGTTGTATGTCTGCCATGGTGTCGAGCCAGATAAGTTGTTCTCGAGGTTGTAATGTAAACTGAGAGAGGAAAAGTGATTGGAAAGCCTTGTGAGGATAAGACGAGTCTTTGTAGTCGCAGTATCCGGGTGGTACCTGGGATGGCAATATGATGCGCAGGGCAAAGAATTTGTCGTCAAGTGAGGCGCAGTCAAGGCTGGCCCATACGTATCAGTGGTTGGCTTGTTGTTTTCGAGGATTCGAGAAGATCGACCAGCCAGATTTGTGATAAGCGGAGAGGGCGGAGGGAGTGGAAGGCTAGGCTTCTAAGGTACCACGATACTTACATGCGTGGGGCGGGCGCAGGAAGGCTGGGAGCGGCCATGCAGTGCCACCCATTCAAATCTCGCTCATCTCGCTCGCTGGAATCCCGTTGTGAGCAAAAGGGCCACCGGGTCCGGAAAAACAAATATTCCATGTCACTTCGTCTTGGCCGAGGCTGAGCCTCCTTTTTGGCTTTTGCCACCACACACACTATCACCTCTAACCCACTCGTGCCACGGCGTACCGAAGTTGCTCATGCGCTCGTTCCTCCTTGTGCTGTCTCATATGACGAGACGTAGTTCCAACCAATACCGCGTACGCTGTGGCTCAGCCTGATAGTTCCAGCTGTCGTCGTGAACCCCAGCCTCATGGCTCAGCTATGATACACTGTCGTCTTTCCCACCGAGTCTTATCACAACAACCAAAAGCGCAGCCTCGGCTCTCCAAATATGCGGAGAATAGCGGCCAATAGTACTAAACATCTCCGCACTCATCGACCTTCCTACTTGTCCACCGGATGTAGGATTTTCGTCAAAGCAGGTGGACCGATTCTCGGAACCGAATGAATCATGTCTCGTGTGTGGATGTGTGGACGTGTGGATGTCTATATAAAGACGGGATCTATGGAGTTCCCTGGCCGTGGATATGTTGCCCATTTGTCTAGCCACCTCTTTCAATCACGAACATGGCGCCATCGGCCACCACCAACGGCTATGGGGGGATGTATCTCCCCGACGACGCTGATAGAGCTGGACTTGCTCTCAGGGAACAAACGCGCCCATTGTTGAACAACCCATCACCGGACGATGTTGAAATCCTGGAGCAATTGTACGGTTCTCGGAAGAAGATGCGTATCGCCGTCCTCGGTGCTGGCATGTCTGGTTTGAACTTTTTCAAAACCGCAGAAGAGAGACTGAAAAATGTCGAAATCATATGCTACGAGAAAAACGCTGATGTTGGCGGCACCTGGTATGAGAACCGTTATCCAGGCTGTGCCTGTGACATACCCAGTGTGGTGTACCAGTTTCCCTGGAGACCCACGTCATGGTCCCGGTACTACTCATACTCGCCCGAAATTTGGGACTACATCAAAAAGGTCGAGCAGGAGAACAATTTTATTGAGAAGTATGTCAAGTTGCGGCACCGAATTGTCGCTCTTTCTTGGGACGAGGGCACCGCTCAATGGACTGTCCGTGTGCAGGACCTCACCACGGGACGGGAATTCGAGGATCATGCAGATATAGTCATCGACGGGGGTGGAGTTTTGAACAAATGGAAGTGGCCGGACATCCCTGGTCTGCACGATTTCAAGGGTACCCTCCTTCATTCAGCCCAATGGGATCAGAACACGGATCTCAAGGGTAAACGGGTCGCACTGGTCGGGGCTGGAAGCAGCGCTGTTCAGATCCTGCCGAATATCTATGACAAAGTCGACAAGGTATACACCTGGATTCGGAACAAGATCTGGATCACAGCCGGTTTCGCTCAAGCATTCGCAGGCAAGGATGGTGCCAATTTCATTTACAATGAGGAACAACGGAAGCTGTTTGATGATCCTGACGAGTATCTGGCCTACTGCAAAATGATCGAAGGTGAGCTCAATCAACGCTTCGGCTTCATCATCAATGGTTCGGAGGCACAAAAGGCTGCCCGGGAATACTCTGAGAACGAAATGAGGACGCTGCTCAAAGACCGGCCGGACCTACTGGAGAAGATCATGCCGACCGAGTTCTTCGTCGGGTGCCGTCGTCCGACTCCTGGAAACGGATACCTGGAAGCCCTGACGGGCGAAAAAACCACGGCGTTTGCATCGCAGCTGCAAAAGATCACGGAAAAGGGCTTCATCGATCCAGACGGCCAAGAGAGGGAAGTTGACGTGATCATCTGCGCCACAGGCTTTGACACCTCATACAAACCCCGTTTCCCGCTGAGTGTCAACGGTGTTTCGAAAAATGAAGAATGGAAAGATCACCCTCACGTCCCTTCGTACTTGAGTCTCGGCCTGGCCGAGGTGCCCAATTATTTCGTCTACGGCGGCGCTTACTGTCCGTCGGCACACGGCAGTTTCTTCCCCTTGATCGAAGGGTACTGTAACTACACCGTCCAAGTGATCGAGAAGATGCAGGTGGAGAACATTCGGAGTCTGCGACCCAAGGCGAAGGTGGTGGACCAATTCTTGAGACATGCAGATTCCTTCTTGAAGAGGACTGCCTGGACCGGTGAGTTCTTTTGTCCGCTCTGATTTCCTCTGATCGCGTGGCGGATGGCAGTACAATACGGCATGAGTAGAAACGGACATGTGCTTACTTCTCGAACAGGACCCTGCTCAAGCTGGTTCAAGGGCGGCAAAGTCGACGGAAAACCCGCCGTCTATCCGGGCTCGCGACTTCATTTCCTGCGCCTGCTCGAGAAGCCGCGCTTCGAGGACTACGAGATCGAGTATGACGACCAGGACAACATGTTTGGCTTCTTCGGCAACGGCTTTCACGTCTGCGAGAGGGACGGCAGCGACATAACCTGGTACATGGGCAAACCTGGGAGAGAGGTGGACGAGGAGAAGATTAAGAGGGTCATGGACGGCACCAAGGGGATTGAGATGAAGAGGGCGTCGTGATTAATGTCGGTGGACTGCGTTCTATCGATTTTGTCAAAGGTATTTTATTTCCTCGATGAATGGATCTGGCGTGCTCGAATAGAAGGGGCAGAGGGAGGCTCAGGAGCAATGGTATAGACACGAAGACGCCAGTCCAGTAGAACATAGAAGGTAGAAGGTAGAGCATAGAGCACATAGACAGATACCACACACACGTGATGATGTTCCACTCTCGGTACACCACTACCTACAAGGTAGGCAGACAGGCACAAGTAACAGATAGACGGACGACATCGACAAGTACTCTCTCGGTATATACAAGTCTAGACTTGCAGCGGTTATTGGCTCCAAGCATAGACCATACCTGATACATGATACACGATACATGATACATACATAGGTAATGCTGATGGAACTTTTTCATCCTCATGACATCACGAGTCTAGCTACGGGGTGTGGACGACTCATCCGCTTCCGCTTCCGGAATACGAGACCTTCCCTTTCCCTTGTCTTTTTCGGTTCTCAGCTCGTGGAAAGCTTGGTACGTGCTACCCAATGTAGGGGCCATATGTGTCAGGGAAATTTGTTCCGTGAATACTTATTTGGTCATGGGTTTACGGTCGTTTCATTTCGTAACGTAATCGCGAGTTCTCTCAGCCCTAAGTGGTGAAGAGTAAATCCAGATACATTCAGTCACACCATATCATCATCATCTCATTCAACTCGGATCCCCTCGAGGTGTCATCATTTTTGTCCCTGCCCTTTCCCGAAACGTTTTCGTCTCTTCGGTTTCTTTTTCATTTGTCGTTATTGCTCCATGTCTCTCGCATCGCAAGTTTCCTTCAGCTTCGGGAGATCTTGCTGCTGTCGCTGTCGCTGTCTACACTCTAAGTCCAACCATCTCGGATCACGGGATTGCCACGCCGTCGCACGTTCACTCTTTGCCCGCATCAACGCTGCAGACGTGAGAACGAGAACGAGAACGACAACGTCGATAACCGCGAGGATGAAGTTCACCACCCCATCGATGGATCCGCCGAAACACGAAATGGCCTATTTTCCTGACATGACGACCTCGTTACCCAGCGAGTCGGGCGACTTTCGCCGGGTACTGTGGACGGGGTTGTACAGTCAGTTGGTCCTCATGACGGTACCGGTGGACGGAGAGATCGGAGACGAGGTGAGTCTCCCCTGGTCTCCTGGTCCCTGGGTTGTCCGGCGATTCTTCTGGCGGATGGGGTCGATGTGTCGAATGCTTTTGTGTGGCTGTCGCTATTAATATCGTGGCTTATTTTTATCTCTGTAGAAACACACCGTCGATCAGATCTTGACATTCACATCCGGCAAAGGAAAGGCCACCATCAACGGCGTGGATCAAGACGTCAAGGCTGGAGATCTCATCATTGTGCCGGCGGGCACGCAGCACCAATTCATCAACACCGGTCCGACACCGTTGATCTTGTACACTGTGTACTCGCCGGCCGAGCACAAGCCGACCACCGTGCACAAGGACAAGGCACAGGGCGACCGCGAGGAGGAAGAGGGGATCGACGAGCCGCCCGAGTGGAGTCAGAGGAGTAAGAAGGAGAATGAGGATTTGGGGTTGGTCGATCCAGAGGGTCACTGAAATGTCGCTGTAGTAATTTGTGAGTGTGACGCCACGGTCCAGAGGGATGGGTCGGTCGACAGTGTGTCTTGATTCTTTCGAATGCTGGAACCTGCATGCCAGATAGATGGCCGAAATAAGTGTTGAGACCAATCTCTCGAGCACAGAATCATCTTTTCTTCTTGCCCACAACCTTTGTAAACCCGTCTTCGTCCACCTCGGGCTCGGGCTTCTGCTTCGGTTTCCAGTCAATGTCAATGAGTGACGGCGGCGCATCGTCCATCTGCACGTCTGCTCGATCAGGGAACCCATTCCACTCTTCCTCGTCTTCCTCGTCATCGTCGTTGTCGTCCCAATCCGTCTCTTCCGCATCCTTGTCCTCCCCCCTGACGATACCGACGACCTTGTCAGCACCTCCGTCTTTCTGCTTCTCCTGCCACTTTGCGTAGAGGTCGATCAATTCCGAGACGTCCCCCGCGCCCAATTTCGTGGCGCCGCTCCAGATCTTGGCGGCCGTCTCTTCGGCGCTGCCGTCGTCGACAACGACCTCGAACTCGTCCAGCATGACTTGGATCAGCACCTCTTCCAGGTCGCCGACGTCGGCCAGTTGCGGGGGCGTCGACGTGAGCAGTTCCGACACGGCGCCGGCGAACCAGTCCCGCTTGTCCTTGGAGACTGCGGGGGAGCCGCCCCAGGAGTTTTGGATCGCGAGGGTCAAGGCCGGCCAGGACCAGAGGTGGAGGGCCACCAGCAGGTCGATCTGGGAGGAGAGAGATTGAGTTGAAGACGCTGTCGCAGTGGGCGCGGGGCCCGGAAGTGGGCTGGGTTGCGACATTGCGTCTTGTTCGGCGAAATGGGAAGAGGGAGAAGCAGGATGTGACAAGGAGTGGTTCTTGTATGAGGTGTCACACCTGTAGAAAATGCCAGCCAATTTGCCAGTCACTCGAAAATTGATCTGCGTGTCTGTGGCACAATAATTCAGAGAAAAAAAATACTCCTGGTGGTCGGCGGATCGGGCAATCTCTCGCCGAGAATATGACCAAAAGATGTCACTGCACACCGAGTGCGAAGTAACACTAGATACCGTTGACACACAAACAGAGAGTGAAACGCGTCAACGGGTACAAGTCAAGTGTCGTCAATGTCGAGAGGCAAGGTCGATCGGTGAGCCTAGTGATGGATAGAAATCTGTCAATTATTATCTGACTGCCCTTTTATTTCTCTGCTTTCCTACTCTAAACCAGTGCCTGCTTCTAACGACTCACCGCCAACACATAACCTCACCACACAGACAGGTGGATGAACTCTACAAACAATTTGACAATCACGCAGTCGACTTTACGCCGAGATCTAGCGTGTAAGAGACTCGCTTCGCTCTCAAGACCGCCAAAATGGGCGAACCCAACTCAATACCGGCAGCACCAATGGCAGACCAAGACGAGCGGGCGGCCCTCACCTCGCGAATCATCCCGACCATGAGTCTCTCGGTGGCTGAAAACCCTCTCACGGCGCCCTTGGCCCCAGTACAGGCGACATCCGCTTCAGAACGTGCCGCCGCGAGGTTCAAAGTGGAGGGCAACGCTGTCCTGACGGGCGGAGCGGGGACATTGGCCCTGGTCTCTGCGCGGGCACTGCTTGAGCACGGCGCCGGTGGGGTCGCCCTCATGGACCTGCCCGTGACGATTCAGACGTCCTCGGAGGCGATAGCGCGACTGAAGGAGGATTTCCCCAACGCAAAGGTCCACACCATCCCCGTCGACGTGACGTTGGAGGCGGAGGTGGACCGCGCATTCCAAGCCGCAGAGGAGATGCTCGGCAGTGTCGACGTGCTATGCTGCTTCGCAGGCATCGTCGGGTGCGTGCACTCCGTCTCCGCGACGGCCAGCCAATTCCGCAAGGTCGTCGACGTCAACCTGACGGGGTCGTTCCTCTGCGCCCAGGCCGCGGCGCGACGCATGATTGCTTCCCAGTCCGGCGGCGCCATCGTCTTCACGGCCTCCATATCGGCCTACGCGACAAACTTCCCCCAACCCCAGGCAGCCTACAACGTCAGCAAAGCCGGCGTCGCGCACCTGACGCAGAACCTCGCCGCCGAGTGGGCAGTCCACGGCATCCGCGTCAACTGCATCTCCCCCGGGTACATGGACACGGTGCTCAACGCCGGCGACAGCCTGAAACCCGTGCGGGACATCTGGGCCAGCCGCTGTCCCATGGGCCGGATGGGCGATGTGGAGGAAATCACGGGGCCCGTCGTCCTCCTCAGTAGCAGGAGGGCAGGGAGATACATCACCGGCGCAGATCTGCGGGTGGATGGAGGTGCCTTGTGCTTTTAGATCGATATCCCTGGCGAGAAAGGACACAGATGGAACCATGGGTGAAAAGACGCTCACTGTAATGATGAGATTGCCTTCCCCCGAGCCCTTGCAATTCATGGAAAGTAGACTGTTTTCAATCTTCTCTAAATCCTGTATGCCCAAAAAAGTAATATATTCTTGTATCTAGACATAGACATATCGATCACAGCCAATGTAAGATATTCTCGCTGCAGCACATCATAAAAGAAAAGGGGGTAAAAGTTTGGAACTTTTCTCTTCCCTCGCTCTCGCGTTCGTTTGCACTTGCGAACCTTCGAAAGAACAGGACATCTGATTGCATCCTGTGCTTGCATGTATGGATGTGGTGGTCTCCCGGTCTTTGCGTGTTTGTTCACTTCCGATAAACGCGGCCTAGTCCAGCCAAGCCATCTCAAAGGGAAGAAACAGATCAAAACCTGTAGAGACGTGCGCATGCATAACTTGACAGATCACTGAGGAGCGCAGCAAGAGAGCCACACACCCACAGGCACGCATACGCGACAACGAAGAGAGACACGACTAGAGACGAGAAGCCTACGCCTCTGGTTCATGCCTGGCCTTCTCTACATCTTCGGCTTTGATGGCATGCCGGTCTCCCTGCGCGGGAAGTTCCTGGTTGCTGCGCGTACTGGCTTCAGTCGACTCGCCTGGGGTGGTCAAAGCGCCGGCCTTCCGGATCATGTCCGAGTGTTCTCCGATGCCATAGCGATCTTCCCTGGGGATGTTGGGGTCGATACCGTTTTGGTCCGGGTTTTGCGGCGTCCAGGCGAGATAGTCGCGGCGGACCTGTCAAGCAAGGAAAGTTGGTTAGTATCAATTGACGTGAGAATCTGAAAAGGCTGGAGAAGCGGGTGCGTTGGGAAAAGGAACAGGACATACCTCAACGTAGTCATAGGCAAACTCGCCCAGTTGGTCATCGTCCATGCCGAGCAGCTCGGCCTCCTCTGAAGCACGCAAATGCAGACCCGGGATAAAGTTGACAATGTAAGCCAGGATGGCGCTCATGACGAAGGCATAGCCCGTACATGCCAGGACATAGGCGAGTTGGATATAGAATTGGCGATAGTTCCCAATCGGCCACCCGCCGATGGCAGTGCCTGTTGTTGGATTGGTGCCGCCTGTATTGACACCGTCGAGACCCACAACGTAGTCGACGCCAAAAAGAGCGTTGAACATCAGACCAATCATGCCAGCAACACCGTGCTCAGCGAACACGTCCATGGAGTCGTCGATCCGGATCCAATACTTGACTAGAAATAACAGTCAGCACCACAGAAGCCCCAAGCAGAAGGGTCCTGGATATGGCTCACTCTTGGTGGCAAAATTGCAGCCAATGCCAGTAACAATGCCCAATACCACACTGCCCCATGTGTCAAGGTATCCGGACGCGGGCGTGGCCGCCACAAGCCCAGAGATGGTTCCGGAACACCAACCGACCATCGACCATTTCCGAGCCAGCCTGAAATCGAGCAGAACCCAGGCGGCCGCGGCAAAAGTGGCTGTCAAATTAGAGTTCCAGCAAGCAATGACAGCCCTGAGGTTGGCTCCAAAGGAGGAACCGCCGTTGAAGCCTAGCCAGCCAAACCATAGCAGGACGGTTCCGAGGAGGATGAAGGAAACGTTGTGGGGGCGGAAGTTGAGCATCATCTTCTCCTGTCTCTTTCCCAGAACCATGGAATAGGCCAAGGCAGACATGCCAGAGCCGATCTCAACGGGCCCACCACCAGCATAATCCATCACGCCGTAATTGAATGCCCATCCGTTGACATTCCACACCCAGCACGCGATCGGGTTGTACACGAGGGTTGCCCACAGAAAGGTCCAAACGAGGAAAGGCATTAATCGGCCACGTTCGGCCACGGCGCCTGCAACGATAGCAGCGGTCACGCAGCAGAATTGCATCTGTGAGTCACCCATCAGAGTCGTGTTGCCAGAAAAGGATCAAGGTCGCTCACCTGGTAGAAGGAATATAGGAGGCTAGGGACCAGAGGCGACCCGGGGCTGGGGGCCCCCAGAGTTCGTTTCAGGCCAAAGTGAACCAGATCTCCAATGAAGCCGCTTGTGCCGGTAGGGGAGAAGGTAAGTGAATAGCCCCAAAAGTACCACTGGAAGTTGATGACACTGCCTGCGGCCATGCAAGCCCACATCAAGGACAAGGCCGACTTTCGTCGTGCCAGGCCCGAATAGAGAAAGCCGAGGCCCGGCACCATGATCAACACCAGACATGATGAGATGATGATATATGCCTGGTCGCCCGACTGATACCATTTGTTCAGATTCTCCGTTCCTGCACCATGGTCAGAGAATCCGCCATCCGAACGCGATCAAGACAACGTACTTGAGTCTCCTCCTGTTCTCTCATTTGTAGCCAGAGAGTAGTCGGCTGGCGCGCCGGTCCAGTTGTATGAGGCATACGAAGGGAGAAAGTCGGCGATGTCACTCGACGACATGGTGACAGCACCGTGATTGAGACGGGGTTCTGCAGAGGGGAGTGAGCCTCGGTAATAGCGTTTTCGAGGCTGTCAAACTCCCAGGCAGGCCAGTTCAAGATATATACCTCGTCGCAGAAGAGAAGAGTAGTCGTGGAAAAAGAAAAATCAGCTGCCAATAAGCCAGCAGTCTAAGAAGTAATTCCCAGGACTTTACCGGACAGCAGGAGACGACGTGGTTGGTGCCGTGGCGATGATAAGGGCAAACGACATAAAAGATAGGAACAATCAAGCCTGTCAAGCACGCGAGACAAGAGATACGAAACGAGGTGGATGCCGTTTTCCAAGACTGTACAGCCCCAGGGATGTTTGACTGAAGAAGCAAGAGAAAGACGTCAAGACGGAGCTAAAAGCCTCAGAAGATGATTTTCAACGACATTGGACGGCTGCACAGTGGACATTTAGACAGGGTGGGAAAAGTTCGGTGTCGCGTCATGGGTCAGCGGAGTGGGAGTAACGAGGGTTGGAGGTGATGCATCTGTGACGGTCTCGATGGAGCAAGGGTCACGGCGATCTGAGTGGACCGCATGTCACAGGAACCGGGGGAGGAGCTTGTTACGGGTGGCCTTTGGGTCTGTGTCCGTATGTGTCTGTGGACTGATGGGATGGGCCACTTGTGGTGTTTTTCTTTTCTTTTCTTTTGTTGTCTTTATCTTCCACCTCTTTTACTTCTCTTCCTCGAGGTATTGTTGCGGATTGGGCAAGACTAGGGAGGTACCTGGGTCCGGTAAATCGCTCGTTGGTGGTCTGTTGGACTTGCAGCTTGTTTGGAAATTTGTGGGGTTGTCGTAGCTGGTTGGTGGTTCGCACTTAGCACGAGCCCGCGCGGACCGAAACCGAGGAAAAGAAAACAATACAATGATCATGACGAAAAAGCTGAATCCGTATCTGTGATCTGGATGCATGTCTGGTGGCTTGGCAGCACGAGAAGTTGTTACAAGACTCGACGGCTTTTGGGGCCGAGATCCCCAGCCTGATCGTATTGTCCTTCGGTGAGTGGTTAGCTGTCAATTGTTATCAAAGACATGTTTGCACGGAAGACGTGGTCCAGTCGGCTCCAAAGCCTTGGCCTGTGAATATCTCAGGAGACCTCATCAGTCGATCGCAAGGCCATCCTGCAGGAGTACCGTACGGCGTACGGACAGATGGACTTGGTATTCGGTACAACTGACTGACTGACTGACTGATTGACTCGATAATAGACTTTCGCCCGATATCGGGAAGACTTGGTAGTGAGAGGGTGAACAACCCTGCGGGCAAAAGCAACAGCCCAACAACACACGCGACAAAGAGAAAATTTTTCGGTTGAGGGAGATTTGTGTCTCGTAATGCCAAGGCAGTTCTTAAAGACGGCAAGAAGCGAAGAGAATTGCTTCTGGTAATTGCAGCTTTCAACCAGGTGTAAAACACGGTGTAATCAGCGTGGTTATTCATTTCGTCGACGAGTGATTCAAGATAGAGGTTGAAAACGACCAATGGGAACGGCAAAGCTTATCAGACTTTCATGATTTTCGTGCAGACCCGATGCAGGGATAAGCCCGGCAAAAGACGCAGCGCACGCATTAGCCTCATGCAAGGGCCCAGCTTATTTTCTGTTCCATATCGGCCACTGTTTGTCCACTTTAACCGAGCGAGCGAAAGCCAATGATGCCAAGCGAAAATAGTTTGACGTCAGAGGCACGTGAGCAGCCAAGCAACGTATCTCCTTTCTCAGCTACGGAACCTCGCAGCCTCCGTCTGGGGGATCATAGCTTATAGCCATGCACAAACTGGGGTGCATGCGAAAACAATGGCAATCCCAATCTGGAGTCCCTCTGCCTCTGCGATAGACTTGTCGCATGATGCGCATAATCTTTTCACGCATTAGCTCCCTCTGCTCATCGACCACTCCTCCTCCAACTTCTCCAGGTCACGCTTAAAGGGAAAATTTTTTATCCAGGGGTGAAAGAAATTTTTCACTCAGATTATCGCTTATTGCCCTTCAACAGAAGGTGCATCAGGCAGGTATTGTCGAATCGACGAGAGCTCAGAACCCCCCGGAGAAGGATCGTGAGTGCCGTGCCTCACTTCTGCATCCTTATCAGCCGTTATATGTCTTTGATGTTTTATCCGCGCCACAAAGCTGAACAACCCCCCTCTCCACACCCAATCCTCCACAAAAAGAAACCACAAAACAATCTCGTCTTCGTATAGCTTCGTGTTTCTCTGGCAAAAGTCATGCCACCCTTGTCTCTGTTATCTCTTCCAAGACATCAAACCTTGAGCAGAGAGTTCGGGCGCCATGTGCTGCCGTTCTGGGCACACAGAGCTTGATGATGAATCTACCAACACCGGGTCTGATCGGATAACTGGGGACGGGCACCGTCCTTAGCATGGTCTCTACACGCTACAAAAGCGGGCCTAGCACGGTACTCAGCCCAGACAACCGTACGAGTACTTGGACTGAGATTATGCCAATGGAGGCAGGGCGGGAACCGATTGAGTGGAAAACACCATACAATACACGCGCGTGTGTGCGAGGCTTATTCGAGGATTTACAAGGATTGAATAGTACGGTAGGTATGAGGAACCCCGTCCCCCCTCTTCCCTCTGCCTCTTCCCTTCCCAGGCGTCCGGTTCTGTTGATCGTCGGGGAAGTTCGCTACGAGGATCACTTGATAGCGGGGACGAATGAATGTGCCAACCAGCCCGGCGAGTATAGTTCAGAACAGTTCACCTGAGATGACCTTCCAAGGATGATCCGATGACCAGCTTGACAGCCTACCTCCCTATCTAAAGAAGCAATATGCCTCTCGTCCCGACCCTTCGCGTTTGACACCAGCTCGATTACGCCATAATAGTGCCACCTGCAACCTCGCCTGTTTTCCCCTCCCTGCACGAATCTTTCTCCCAATGGCATCTCACTTTATTATCTGGGGATTTTCTTTTTATTTAGCAACCTTTTTTTGCCTCGTTTCCAATTGGACGGAGAGACGGTCGGACGGTTTCAAACGGAGAACGAGCGCAATCTTTGGTTGGTTGTTTGTTGTCTCAATGTCTCGAATCGACTTTTGACAAAACCTTTCTTTCGTGGTTGATATACGCCCTTGCCACGAGTCACGACTGAAGCAGCTTCAATACACTAACAGAGTAGACTGGACGATGATAGACAAGTGTGACTAACTCAAGGGCGTGGTAGCACGGTGATGTTATACTCCTACTACGCGTAGTTGATGGATCTTCCAAGTCTCTCCGACTCCGCACTTGGTTTTCCCTTCTCACCAAGGCCCCGGAAATTGATTTGGAAGGGGATCCATATATCCTTGTAACGAGCATCACTACTGTAGAAAAGGAACCGGGAGATAGTTGGGTTGCATCATGATATTGAACCTCGATAGCGCTCTTTCTTCGATCTATGTTAAGCAGCGACCTCCATCAGTTGCAAGTGAACTCCTCATCACAAAACCCTGGCAATCCACATCTCGGTGGACTGTCTCTTTAGTCTCATATTATTGCTCTTGCATCATTTGCCCCTCTACCTCATCGCAATGAGCGGCTTACTTCTTCTCCTCTGGCAGACTTCCGTATAACGTCTCAACAATCATTCCAGTGACCTCTGTGACACGCATAAATTAGCACATGCAAGGCAACAGCAAACTCATTTGAGACTTACGGTATGGGTCAGCATTGGATGCTGGTCGTCGGTCCTCAAAGTAACCCTTGCCTTCTCGGGCACAGGCTCGGGGAATGCGGACAGATGACCCTCGGTCGGCAACACCCCAGGTGAACTTATCAATACTTGATGTCTCGTGGGCACCGGTCATACGCAGGTGGTTGTCTTCGCCGTAGACCTTGATATGCTCGACGTGGCGCTTCTCCAACTTCTTCATGGCCTCCTCGATGTATTTCATGCCACCCTCTTCTCGCATCTCCTTGGACGACACATTGGTGTGGAGGCCAGCTCCATTCCAGTCACCCGGGATAGGCTTGGGTTGAAATGAGACTTTGGCGCCAAATTCTTCGGCGATACGGTGGAGAAGCCATCGTGAAACCCAGAGTTGGTCACCCACTGTACATTGAGTAGTCAGCTGTTGTTCGCAACGCCGCGCAACGCATGCCGTGTGACTTACAATCAATACCCTCGCAGGGACCAACCTGGTATTCCCATTGAGCGGGCATCACCTCGGCGTTGGTCCCCGAAATGTTGATACCGGCATACATGCAGGCCTTGTGGTGTGCCTCGACGATATCACGGCAGTAGACACGGCCAGTGCCAACACCGCAGTAGTACGGTCCCTGGGGACCTGGGAAGCCACCCTTGGGCCAGCCATACGGCCAACCGTCGGCGGCCAAGAGAGTGTATTCTTGCTCCAACCCGAACCACACCTTGTGCGCGGCGTTGGCCTCCATTAATCGGAAAGCCTCGTGGCGATAGTTGAACTTGTTGGGCGTTCCATCGGGGTCCCAGGTCTCGCACATAACCAAGACGTTCTCGCCTAGACGGATTGGGTCGGGGTACATGGCCACGGGCCGGATGTAGACATCAGAATTGTCGCCCGGAGCCTGGCCGGTGGATGAACCGTCAAAGTTCCATTCGGGAAGATCGTCGACGCTCTTGGGGGCTTCGCTAAGAGTCTGGAAGTTTCAAGTCAGCCTGTGGCCATTTCTGCAAGTAATAATGGGATTTCGATGTGTCAAGTCTCGGTGGAGCCGCGTCAATGCTCGGCTGTCTATGGCGCGGGCCAAGGGGTGGTTTGATTGTCGTCTTGGGAAATGCCGAGATCGGGTGAAAGGCGATTGGCGCATGGCTGATTTCAAGTGGGCGGCGCAGCCTCGGAGGGGTCGAGAACGGGTGGTGGATAAGCCACGCCACTTTTTGACTGTGACGCCGCCGCAACTGGGTTTCCCAACGTGGGTCTTTCCAGCCCGGCGGTGCACCCCTGCCCACAGGAAAGTGGCAGCCGAGTTCTCGTTTCGGGACTTTTTGGGTTTTTGGCGGGATTTCGGGTTGAGGGTGCGCGCCCACTATGGCCATGGGCAGGTCTCGTGTCGAAATGCCAGATGGAGGCACCGAGGGCATGAATTGCATGGACAAAATATCGCAAACAATGTGCTTACCTTTGTCTTATTTCGAAGGCCGTTGAATCCGTCAATCCAAATGTATTCAGCAAGGACTTTGCCTTTCTGGTCCAATTTCATGTATTTCTCCAACTGTGAGAGGAAAGGTTAGTTAGTGAGCGTTCGAATGGGGCGTGTAGTCTGGCGCAAGAGCGCAGGGTCGTGATCGAGGGTAGACGTTCGACCGGAGTGTGGGAGACTCACATTGGAGGAGTTGGAAACAATGGTAGATTCACCGACGCCAGCCTGTAAGACGAGTGTCAGTCAGTCCATATGAACCATGCCAGTTTTGATGTGGTGAGGATCTCGCCGCAAGCATAGCGGGGGAACTCACCATGGTGGATAAGATGAGCAAGTGACGAGACTGAACAATGTGGATAGAGACAGAAGAGAGAAGAACAAAAGGTTCTTGGTGATTGTAGTTCAGAGAGAACAACAACGACGGAGAGCGACGAGGAGGAGAAAGGAAGTTTTGAAAAGTGAGAGAGGAGCGATAACAGGAAGGACAAAGAAGAAGCAAGCAAATAAATAAATGTCACAAAGGTGCATGGCATTGCCGCATGGGCGAATGGGGCAGCTTTGCACCCTGGATGACCCTGGGCCAGCCTGCAGCTTGCAGTTGGGGGGGTGGGAGAGGGGCTAGTGAGGCCTTTGTTCGGGGGGCTTTGGGCATGGCCGCTTCTTGCCTCCCCCACCAAAAGCCAGAGGAATTGGGCCTCTCACCACTGGTCGCCCATCAACAAGCCGAGCTGATACGCCCCCGAGCCACGAGCCAGTCATGTTGGAGTGATGCCCGGGTCGTTACTAAAACCGTCAGCTTAACAGTTGGAGATTCCCAAGGCTTCAAGGGTAGGCTTCAAGGGTCCAGCCCTGGTCACCACCTCTACCGGAACCACTACTTGTTATTGTTCCTCCCTACTGATCCTTGCATCCACTGAGGTTTGAGAGAGACTGGGTCTAATCGACTAGTGAAAGACCAGCTCAAGATAAGGAAAAACAAAAAGAAGTCGATCGGATATTCCTCCTTCACGCCATGGCCACCCTCGCTTGCTACGTAGCACATCCTCAAGCATTGACGATGTTGCTCACTGCGCACAGGAGCGACTGTAATGATGACGGCCACACCTCAAGGCGCACTTGTTACCATTGCGACTGGTCCAGCATGTAATCGTGGGTTGGACGGTCAGCACAACCAAGAATCCAACTCAGATGCCAATTTCTGGGCTTCCGGGTAAATTAGCTCAGTAGCACGAGACATTCCAGATCCAACTCTCAGTTGCTGTGGAGGCAAATGAAGCGAACGAGGCGAATAGTGAGCAGCTACTCGAACAGACAATCGTTCAACCACCCCCACCTCTCCTTGAATCTCCTCCGCCTTTTCACGATGAACTGCACGGCTGCTTACGATGTCGTATTATCATCAACCCGAGGGGCCAGAGCAGGCACCTTTGCCGTTCGGTGTGCCCAGCGGTTTTGTTCTTGTCATCACACCAGCAGTTATTATTATTCCTACTTGTCAGGCCGTTGTACCTTGCAGGTGCCAATTGCCAATCCATCAACCACCGCGTATGATGATGAGAACATTCGTCTCTTCTCATCAACGTCTCGTGCAACGCAGACTTTGGTTCTCCCCTGCTCCTGTTCGCCCTGCTAAGCGAGTTGTATGTAGGTCTACGTGTCCCGCCTCTTGTGATATCCGTCAGTCCATCCACTTAATCGCTTGCCTGCTACCTAAACAAAACGAAACAAAACATCTAACAGGATATGGGGTATCTCAAGCCAGCAACAAAAGGAAACACAACCCTCTTGGATCTGAAGCCAGGAAAATGTGGCGTACATGCAGTCTCCCCGCATTCCCCTTACGCCGAAGCTTATCGTCGAAAGTTGATTGGTTGGTGACCTGCATTCGAACAATCACGCAAATGACATAATGAGGTTTAGACCCGTGACTGAAGAGGGACTTCAAGCCGAAAGGGTCGGAAAGAACAAGCGTTGCTGTGGCCCTTGGCGCGCATCCTCCAATTCCTCCTCGTGCTCCTCCAACCATGCGACCATCAAGTCGTTTCACCGCGCGTCTTGTTCAGTAGAAGCAGCCGCTTTTCTTTTTCTCGTTCCTCCGCCATCTTGTCCTTCTCATACATCGTCCACAGGTGCAGTGCATGTTTGCGGGCCTCTGCCAGATCGGGCAGCATGGGACAGTGTGGTTGGGGTAACTCAGAACTGCCCTGTTGCCGCTGCTCTTCCAACATCTGAGCTTCTCTGTGCCCCTGCGCGATTCTCGCATGCTGGATCCATCGCTCAGTCTTCTGGGTATCTCGCACTCGTCGTCGAACACTGCTGTGGACTCCTTTCGCTGTGTACGCTCCTAGACCAAGCACACCCGAGATAGGCTTCAACACCAACCCGCCAATGCCTCGCGCAATGCCTTTGGGTAACGCCGACATCCCATCCTCCTGGACGTCGAGGTAGGGAATGCGCACAACACCTATCACTCCGTCGTAAAGCCCGAACCAAAACTCTTTGCCCGCCACCTTCAGCCCCGTGCGAAATCCATTAATCCCCTGGGGAGAAGGCCGTACGGTTTTGTCGCCATACAACCGGGGTGCGTTGTGAAATCCAAGAGCCAGGGCATTCCACATTTGTAAAGGAAGTACTGCAATGGCTTTGCTGGAGTGGCCGATCCCCTTGCCCACATCTTTCAAGATCACGACCATTGGGTCAGTACGATCCGGATTCGTTGTCGTGGTCTTGGACAACTTCGAGATATCTCTAGCGTTAGCCTGGTCGAGTCCGGCCTGACCAAAGGGCAACTTCATCGGCTCTGGCTCTCCATGGAAATTGACCTGTTGCATGAGTCTTGCATGCTCTTTCCTCTGCTCGTCAACTGACGTGCCGCGCGTGGCCAATGCAATCCGTCCTGGTAGGATCAGTCCTTCAATTGCCGATTTCTGCTTTTGCCTGCGTCTGAGTTTCTCATAGTGTTTGATGTCTCGTTTCGTCGTCTCATGCATCGTCATCAGTCCACGAAATGCTTCTTGGAAGGCTTGAACGAGCACGCCGCCGGCGCCGGTGATAGGCTCCCCAGGTCCTTGAAAGTCGGTCCACTCATGGTTTTTGGCCAACTCCAAGTTGGACCAGCCTAGATGTTTGCTTTCCACCAGCAGATTCGCTGCCAGTGCCGACAGTCGTGTATTGGCGTGCTTAGTCTGCCACACGGCAACGCGATCTGGGAAGATGCTACAACGCATCGAATGAGGGCCATCGAGATTCAGGTGTCGGTGAAAAGAGTCTACCGCGTTCTCCGCCCCATCGCCTTCCTCTTGAATGCTTTGAGCAATGGCTTCCGCTTTGGCTCTGGCTTCGGGCTCGAGGCACTGACGGATCCCCTCAGCGAATCTGTCGCTGTCAAGTTTCTTCAGAGGTAGTGCCTCTTTCGCACCCGCACCCGCTCTTGCGACCATCGCACTCCAGAAAGGCTGGTCTCCAAAGAAGGGAACGATCATTGTTGGCTTGCCAAACCTCAGCCCCGCAGCTGTGGTTCCAGCACCACCGTGGTGAACCACTGCGTCAACGCGTGGGAAAAGCCAGTCGTGGGGTACATTGTCAATCAGGAAGATGCCGTCGGGCTTGTCCATACCATCCCCCATACCACCCCATCCTCTGCTGACCACAGCGCGAACACCAGCCTTCTCGACTGCCTCGAAAACCATCTTCGTGAATGCCCCCGGGTTGCTGATTCCCGAGATTGAGCCAAAACCTATATAAACAATCGGCCTCGCATCTGATCTCTCGAGAAACTTCACTAGATCTTTTGGAGGATGGTAAGAGGTGGCCAGATCCAAGAAGACGTAGCCTGCGATGTCTATCTCGGGACCCCAGTCCTGAGGCTTCGGCACCAGGCCCGGCGACCAGAGATATGTCACTGGAACCTTGAGACGAGAGAGTTGACCAGGAGCCCAGAGAGTTGAAACAGGTTCCAATCCTAAAGTTTGGACACGGAATCGGTTGATCAAGTCGCCCAGTCCCTGCCATGTCATCAGATCGACCAAGGGATAGCTCATGAAGTTGGTGTACCTCTGGTCCACGTTGGAAGCCTTGATATTGGCCAGAGGGTGAGGAAACGCTTGCGTGGGGGAATAAGGAAAGGTAAAGACTAAGTGTAGTGGGATACTCAGTCTCTCTGCGCAGTGATAATGAGCGAAAGAGGGCGGGTTTGCAATGATGGCGTCGGCAACAAAAGGAGGCTTCGAGCGCATTAACTCCAGGTTCGCCACGTCCATTTCGTCGTCTGTGGCATTGATGCACGCCCTCCAAAATCCTTGGAACATTTGATACATCGACTCACGCCTTTTGCCTATTTCTCCGGACCTGACAGTCTCAAGCGTCGGTATCAAACCAGGATTTTTGACCATGAATGCCATCAGTTCGGAAGGATCTCCACCCACAGAAAAGAATTCGAGACCAACTTCCTTCTCGACGAACTGCTTGAAGGTAGGGTGCGATGCAATCCGTACCCTGTGGTGGTACTTGTCTTTCAGAATCTTCCCGATTTTCAAAAAGGGCTGAATGTCGCCACGGCTACCAATAACCATAATTACTATGTTCATCGAAGGAATGACAAGCTTGTGCTTGTCTCTGAGGAAATCAGCCTTAGCCTTGTCCGCCACCTTTGCCTCCTCTTGGTAGTCGGGACCCAGCTGATGTCGAATGGTTGCGCCTAGCGCTTTGGCAAGGTAGCCTGTCTGAGCTGTCTCATTGACCGAGATATTCAGTCTGCCGTCCCTGGCTACTCTCCCTTGGGATTGAAAGAACTCGTTTCCCACCTTCAGATGAGACGGCCTCCGGTGGGTCCGAACTCGATTCAGCTGGGATTTTGAGAGGGCATTGTGAGCGGGATAAGTCTTTACCCTGTGCATTCCAGCTATGTTGTCTTCATCTGAGGAAAATGACGTGTCCGACTCGCCCGAAGATATTCGAGGTTCAGTATTTCGTGAAACCGGGTAGTTCACCGTGGACCGATGCTGTCTGAGGGGTGCTGAAGTCCTCGAGGTAGTAGGGCTAATAACTTCTGTATCGAACTTGCGCGAAGCAAGGCGCGGCCTTTCGAAGTTGCCATTCTGTCCAGCATCTTGTCCAACCTCTTTGGTACTCTCTGGATTCTGTGTATGTGATCCACTATGCAGCGTAGTTTCTGAGCATTGACGGGAGTCGTTGTGTGCTGATTTCGGTCGTTCTGGGTAGGGAAATGAGGTGGGAGGAGGATCGAAGGTAGGGCTGGTCTTGTAATCTGTAGCGGAAGAGGCCAGAGGCGCGAGCATTTGCGCCATATGAGGTGTTACGATGATTCCTTCAGCATAGTGACTGTCCGCAAGCTTGGTGGGCTCTCTGACAATGGACGCAAGGAATGGCGGCTTCCGTCAACTTTGAACGCAAGACCGGGAAAATCCAAGCAATCGACCCTGCAACGTATTCCACAAGAATTCTGTCGAGCAAGACTCGTAGATGACATTTACATGACTAACGCCAAAAGCACCGCGGTCGAGAAGACAGGCTGGAAGAAAACTGAACAAGGAAATTGAGCGCCTGAGTAATTCTTCCTGGGTAGGGCTGGTAGGCCACTCGTTAACTTGTTCCTGGCGGGAGTGACCTCACCACGGTTGCGTCATGAGGCGCTGGGCGCCACCTGAGCGAGACTCCACAAGCCCCAAGCCTCAAGCCTCTGTGCGCCCCCAACCAGATAACAGGAGTTTCCAAGGCCATCTATCTACTCGGTATTCGTCCAGACGTACTCGGTACAGTTGCAAACTTGCTCCTGGTGTCAATCCTGGCGTGATGCGGCACCAAGCAGCTTTCACCCGTCTGCATAGGACATTGGAGTTGAATCTCTCACTACCGTTCAGTGTGTGCCTCAAAAACACCTTCGTTCCACGATCGAATCAGAACAGCAAGATCATCGTGGCTAGGTTGGACACCACCAAAGATGATCCCTTAGCTAACGAGAGAACCCAGCCACCCCCAGAATCCCACGATCACTCTTTGGGGACCACAAGGAATCCCTAAAGGCTAGATCCTCCCAATCACTCGCAGACACACACCCGAGCCAACCACCAATCTTCCCTTGTCTCGCTAAGACGGGCCTTTCCATCAGGGTATCCTGCACTTCCAGATCAGGGTTTGCTCAAGCGGGTCGTGGAAAGAACTGTTGAAATATCGACTAGATGGCATGAGAAGGTCCCAAGACCAGGTCCCCTCAGTCCGCGTCTGAAAACAAAGTCCTCCAGGTCTCCTTGACGGCATTCATTACCCGGATCTGCCTTGGAACTCCAACTGTTCACCTGCCAATTTCTTACTCGACTATCCATAAGCTACAACCTTGTATGCCCCATCAAGACCGCCTTCGGACGTACGCCTAGATATCGTTCACACCGTGGTGTAGGAGAAGTGGCCGGATCAAGCAGGGCGGCCTTCAGCAGCGGCCACAATTCTATACCCTGTTCGACCGCGGGTTTCCTATCTGCGACGAGAAGACAGCGGATACCTGCCACAAGCATTAAACATTAATCTGACAATTGTTCCCCAAGCTCCGGTCACAGTATTGTCAGCACTGAGGAACTCAAAACTGCATCGACGGGGATTTCGACACGTAACGTGTTTAGCAAAAAAAAAAGATCCGGAGTCGCTTGGAAGAAAGTTTCAAGGTATTGTCCGTTCGGAGACTATTATCAGTTCAATGATAGAGCATCTTTCTCCCAGCGCACGGCCCCCGGCCAAAATCCGACACGTTGAGTGAGCTGCAGCACAAGTCGACATGGATCGGCCGCGACACCATGACCACCATTACCTAGACCAATCCCGCACCCCAGTCTTACAAGTAGGTTCACCAAAACCCTCCCGAGTCTACCGTCTTCCGACCCGGCGCCCCTTGTCCATCCGAGAGTTGGGCTGAGCGGGCCAGATTTGCTGGTCAAACTGGCCTATCCAACCTTGAGCCATGCAATGGTCCTGCATTCAGCCCAGTCGCGACACAGCCTAGTGCACCTTTCTCCTGCGCCCTGATTGCCGCAATCCAAAGCCTCATCGTCATCGGCACACACGATATGCGTCGGACAACTCGAACACTGCACGGTCATTCTGATTATGATAGGGCTGAAAGCCGGTGTACTTAAGAAACCCTCCTCCTCTGGGAAATGCTCGGTTCTCCACCCACTGCTTTGCCGGCTCCTCCACTGACTTTTTCGGTGGGACACATCTTTGTTGCGTTGCGGTTTGCAGCGCCGAAAAGTTTGTGGTTTCTTGTTTGGAACAGGATCTCGGCAAGGGCTGGTAGGCCGTCGCAGACAAGAAGTACGTGGACTGGATGCTGCGACTGCTCAAATGTGTCGGGCATATACGGAGTACCGTCGAGCCAGTGCACTAGTGTGGTCATCATCAGGATCCACCATCATCCCCTTGTGCTGACGGCCTCGTCCTTGTCCTCGAGGTCTGCTGCCAGGTACGCCGCACCTGGTGCAGTCTCTGTTCAATGCCTGCTTCGATGACGGCTCGTGCGGTGGTAGGAGGGAATAGGTTGGATTCGGTACACAGGTTGTACATGAGGCGGATGACATCGAGTTTCTCTCGCTCGGGCACGGCGGTCCAGACGGCGTTGACGTCGGCCCATTTGGAATTGGGATGAGCGGCACAGTATTCGCCGTGGACCCTCCGGGCAAAGTTCTTGAAGTTGTCAAACTGTCGGTTGCTGAGGCCAAGCTTTTCCTGCACTTGAGCGGGAGAGTCTCGCAGCCTGATGGGCGTTGTGCTCATATCGAAATCGAATCGGAATCTGCGAGTTCCAACGGGTACGGCAGAAGGGGAAGAGGTCAGCAAGTGGACAGCACAGCACAGGAAGAATTTGGCCTGCAATAATGGATGACCCCAGGACCCTCGATGTCTTTTTCAGCCTGACTCCAAATTGGAATGCCGGAGGGAAAGGACATAGCCGTCCGTCACCTGTCACGGTGACCAGGTTTCTGCACTGGCACTCCTGCCCAAGTGCACTATCCTCCCACTACGCATTTTTGCGACTTCTCTTACCAGAACCTGCCCCTCCAATTGGGCTCTGCCCCACCGTGGAATTGCCAAGCGACCAGGACCAACAGTGGGCTTTGCTGTCAGAGGAATTCCATAATCGGTCTCTAGCCGTTGCGAGGCACTCTACAGCAGAATAGGTTACCCGGATGCGGCGCCGCATGGCCAGGGCCCCAAGGGTCCCAGGGCAGCCAGGCACTCAAGGACAGCCAGGACAGCCAGGGATGATGCACGCCTTGGCCAGCTTAAGCCTTAGGGAAGCTAGAGCCCTTCAGGAGCCCCCCCGGCTGATGGCGTAGACCGCTGTGACCGCTTTAGAGAGGGGGGGGGGATCAGTGGGGGTTTGGCTTGACGGAGACAGTCATGGGCTCTCCCCGTGCCTATTGCCGTTGAGCCGTTGGAGCCATCTCGAGAGGCGCGGACGATTTTCACCAATCGCTGGCCTGGGCGGTCAAGAGGGAGTGACAGGGAGTGGCAGGTCAGGCTGACGGCGACACGCTAGGCCTCGCCCCTGGCTCGGTATATCGTTTCATCATCGTCCAGACCACTTCCTCTGGCCCTTTTGATTCGCAAACACGTTCCAGTCGTTACAACCTCCTTCATGAAGCGTCGCAGGATCATTTGGCGACCATTTGACGACCATCAATAATTCTGATACAGGCCGCGACACCATGAACAACATGGATTCTGCAATATCTCCCTCTCTTACTGCTCCGTCTCTCTCTCTTTCCTCTCTCTTTCTGTCTCTATCTCCTGACTTCTCCTTTACCTTCCCTTTCACCGTACTTTGCTTACCGCCTTGCGCAGTGGACTCTGCAGCATCATTATACCTTTTTTACTTCCAACAATCTCGCTGGCGAGAGACTTGGCTTTTCCTCGGCCTTCTTTACGACCTTTTACGCTCTGACGCCCGTTATACGTCCGCATTGAGATATTATTTTATGACCATATACGACACCTGTCAGCACACTGAGCACCAACAAGACCCTACCATCCAAGATGCTTGGTTCCAAAACCCTCATTTTGACTTCAACTTACCCCGCCGACTTCTCACCGCCACCCACTAGTCGTCATTACCGCTTACGGCGCCGCATCATTACAGCACTGCATCTCGCGAGTCTGCTGGCCAGTTTGATCGCCATTTCACTTTTTGCGGCGGCTATTCCCCGATGGAACGCCAATTTCTTCCATAATACAGGCCCCAATAGGGGCGACTGGACCGACGGCATGCCCCTAGGGCCCCTGACATTTGCCTTCGTCTATCATGCGATCGTCCAGGTTCAGCAACGAAGGCAACAGAACTCGCGATCGACGGAGGATTCGAGCCTTCGCCCTTCGCTTTCCCGACGAGGTCTGATTATACATACGACGGTCCCTATTGTTGTCTTGCTCAGCCTTCTTCCGGCCCTGCTCCTCGCAGGCTACGGCTCTTTGTTTCGAGTCTGGCAGCCTGCAGTACGCACACAGTCCGGGATCCTCGTGTGCAATATGCTGAATATTTTTACTCGGGAATGTGCGCCAACGCTCTACGACATCGGGAACTTGCAGCTTGCAGGCATCGCATTTGGGACGGTCGTGTGGAGCCTGCACTTTGCCCTGTTGCTGGTGAGTCTCCGTAACCTCAGGCGCGGTATGCTGGTCAAACAGCTCCAGAGGGAGAAGATGGCGCAGTATGCCCGAAACGAGCGGAGCTACTCCCGGGGAAGTAGACAAGGCTATGCCAGTCGACATGGTCCCACTCCCAGCCACAGTTCGGGCGACCACAGCAGTGCCTGGCCCCAACATGTGTATTCAGAGCGATACCGAGGAAGCGGCTCGCGGTCTAGCCTAAACTCTAAGCCTGGGTCGGGGACAGGATCAAGAAGCAACTCGCTTACCACGAAGACTAGCGACAGTCAGCACCGCCGGTCAGCAACAAACGCGCAAGATCACCAGCAGGTGGTGCCCATCTGCCTGGTTCAAGCGCCCGAAGAGAGCCACCCACCCGTGTCACACCGGGATGCGTGATTGTTCGCCTGTGCCAACTCCGCCTCTCAGCTCTTGATGGAACTTTTGTAATGGGTGGCAGATTAACGAAGCACTGTCGGTATATTTAGGCTCCTCCGAATCTCGGGTTTTCAACAAGAGGATTCCAAACTCCGGCGTGCTGCTGCTAATAAGCAATACATCCCAAAAGTCGAGATGGGCCTGGGCTTACATATCCCTCTGGATATTGCTTGGGATTATATTTTTGTTTTCCTCGTGCGAACCCAGTGGATCCTAGGGCCAAGGAACACATACTCCATCTATACCCGTTGCTTTCCACTCTTCACTATTCCTTGTCTTCCAGAAACAACCTCGTCCCTTGGCTCGTCTCAGATTGATCAAAACTGCCGAGACCCACCGATCCTGCTCCGGTCAGGCCCGAGCCTAGTTGTGCCTGATAGGGCAGACAAGGGAACGAGCATGGCTGGGCTGCCACCTGGCGTGGATATCCAGGTGCCAGGATGACAGATGCTCACCGCAAGTAGATCGTCACCAGCCCTTTCGTCCCGCTTTGGCGAAAGAAAATCTTCCTGTCGTGGCCAGTCAGCTTGCACGAGTCGATGACCGGACGTGGGGTCAGTTTTGGTCCCCCCAACGATGCAACTGGGACAGGACCTATCTGTCTGTGACACAGCCTGCTATCAAGAGCTATTGCAACGCAACCAATCTCTAGGCCTGAGATGGTAACGAGCCACCTGATTTGGGAAGGTCTCTCGGCTCTCCTCCGATCGACTAGAGCATGACACCAAACCTTTTTCCCTGGGACTTTTCCACCACCGAAGTGGGACGTCAATGCTACACGAGTAACAAGTCGATGAAATCATACAGAAGGCGAGGTGGTTTGGGTACTGAGTACGTCGTACTTGTATGGAATTCGCGAATCCCACGGCTTTCAAGTGCGCCATGTACGTACGATGGGTGAGACGAGGAGGGATTGCTGCGCCTCGTGTTGGAGGGAATTCCACCTTGCAGCTTACGAGGTACCAGGTACCGAGTCCATGGCACTCGACCTGTGCGGCCCCAAGGAGGATGAGGCACAGAGTGTACTCGTGTGTTCTACTCGGTACCTAGTAAGCTGGGACGGAGAACATTCTCCTACACCCATGTCGAGAGCTCATTATTGTCGCCGACTTGTCACCGACTTGTCAGCGTCACTGTCGGTTTTACTACTGCTTGTATTTACCTCGTTACCGTACCTCGAAACCTCGATACCTCGTCCTTCGCACGCCTCGGTACGCACGTACGTAAGTTAGGGTCCACCCAGTACCTAGCGGGTAGGTACCTAGTCACTCATTACTTGCTCAGTGCTCAGTACTCGGTACAGTATTCGCCGGACTTGTTCTTGTTTTCTTGTCCTTGTCCTTTGTTCTCTGCTCATTCTCCTGCCTCTTGTACTCTTGAACTCTATTTTTTTTTCCCCCCTCCCGGTTCTCCCTAAGTCCCTGGTTCTCTTTCACTACATACATAGACAAAACCCCCACGCCCTCCCTCCGGCCTCTTGGCCCCTTAGCAATTCCCTCTCTCCTCTCGTCACCCTCGTCGTTCTGGGTCTAGTGCCTCGTTGGTCAACTCGTACCTCGTATGCTGACTCGGCCGCATCGCGAGGACCCACGAGGCTTGGTCTCCATGCCAGGTACCTGTTCGCCGAGGGAATGGATACCTCAGAAAAGAAAGAGAGAGAGAGAGAGAGGGAGAGAGAGAGGAAGCTTTCCGTACTCGTACTCATGCTCTTCCTCATCCTGGTCCTCGTACTTGGAAACAGACCATTACCATGGTTGTTGAATAGACAGACCACCAAGTCATACTCGCCGCCTGTCTCGCTCGTCTTGTTGTCATGCTACCATGCTTCGCTTAACCAACAGCTCAACACGAGTCGACTCGACCTCTATTAATCACTTGTACCTACACTATTTCATCCGTCTGGAGCTTTGCGCAAGTGTTTCTTCTACCTATCGTCATGAGGGTGTCATTGTCGTTGAAAACTATGTAGCTATGTGGATTTTGGAATCTTTTTTTCTTCCTCTCCCTTTCTTCACGGCTTCATTGGTCCCGAATGCACCCAGTTCGCCTCACTTATCAGTCTTTCCTGTTTCTCCCTTTGGGGGCCTTTCTTTTGCATCATTGGTAGGGCAGCTTACCTGCTGGCATCACGTCAACGACCTGCGTGTTGGCATGATCCATGTCCTTCCAGCCAGTCATGCCCGCCAGCCCGCTTCGTGAACCCCATACCTGATCACCACATCCGACGACTCAAACGCATTCGCTGAACCCTTCAGCCCATATGTCCATTTCGGATCTGATCCGTTCCTCCCTAGTCCCACTGCCATAGTTTGAAGGCCGTGTTGTCCCTTCCTGTGGTCATGCTGAGGGAGCTCTCGCTCCCAGGACTCAACCATTACTTGTGACCCGTCTTGTTTATTTCCTCAGCTCAAAAATAAGCCTATTACCATTGAAGAGTGATGCACTGAAAGGCCATTTCGAACCATAATCCCAATGTTTGTAGATTCATTCTCTTTTAATCCTCCCAGACCCCCATTGCAGGTTGTAGTCGGTCTCTAGGATAAGTGGAATGCTCCTTGGCCCTCTCGAATAGCCACAAACAGCCTCTCCTTTAGCACGGCCTGCGAGGTGTAGTCTGGAAGCTTGAGGTAGTTGACACAAGTCATCACACTAGGCAGATAGTCGTCGGATGTGTATGGTGGCTCGCTAGG